GTTTTGCTTCTGTACGTTCTTAGCCGCACTGCTAGACTGCTAGATGTGACCTCTAATCTTACTGAGTTTTGTGGTTTTTGTAGATCCTGCCTATCATTTGGGAAAATGGAATTGGATTAAGTGCCTTCCTATTTTTTCCTCTCTCACTGCAATCAGATCAAGGGCTGGACATGGTTTTTAGCTGTGTAATTTGACTAGACTTTGTGACTTTGAAGGTTTGAAGAACTGATGAGATCATGTCTTTTAAAGGTTATGAAACATTTAAGTCTCTGGCTCGTTGTTTTGGATTTGAGATCTCAATCTATTCTTTGATTGTTCCTAGGACTCTTTACAGATTAAGCATATTGATAGGGAAAGCTTCCCCACTCCCCACCCTCTTTAACCACCTCGAGCAGTCTGAGTAAGGGAGCTGATAGCCCTTGTGAACGGTGACCACTGTGCCTTCACTCTGAGGAGACTGCCTCCTTTCTGAGCGCTCTAAAGAGGACTGTGCTGGGTGCCATTGGCAGCAAGAGCTGCTCCATCCTGTCCTTCTCATTCGGAAGTTGATCCTCCTTGTCCAATTTATTTATTTTCTTGAAATAATTGCACTTTTAGGAAGAAGAGAAGTCTTGGCTCTCTCTGCACAGACTCACATAGACATTTGGATTGACCAGGCCGGTTACCTCTCCTCTGCATAGGTGATTGTTAACAAATGCCTTATCCCTAAAGAGACAAAAAACAGCTAAACTTGTGTGATGTTTTGGAAGCTCTTTTAGTCCAAATAAATATGGGTATTCTTTATTCCCTCCAAACTGTAGAGAAGCTTCTGGAAAGATCAGGCCCTTTGAAAGTATGTAGCAGGCTTGTTCTGTTCACGTGCTACTTGAGGCTGTAGACAATTATATATGACCTTCTTAGAAAAGTTTGAAGCTATAATTCCCATTCCATATTGATGTAATTATGCTTCAGGGTCTCATTAAAAAAACCTATAAAATATTAAATAAGATTTTTTTATATTTAAATAACCATTAACAGTCAAGCAGTGATTAACATTCACATCTATTATGTCACATCATAGAAATGTAAACACAAAATTACTATAGTACAATATATATTCTCTGCATGATTAAATAAGATTAAAAATATCACTGATTGTTTTTCACTCTGCTAGGGCTGCTCTGACTGGACATGGTCCCCCTTCTTATACTGAGCCATTTGCCTCTGGTCCCATTCCCATTACTTGGCACAATAACTGATAGATTTGTTCCTGGACTTTGTTACCTGTTAGATTTATAGGCTTTTCTCCACTTTTACAGTTCATTGTGTTATTCTGTCAGCTCTTCTCTGGGATCCTCACTATCTGAACATTTCCATGGTGACTATAATTCAGGTGAAGTTTAAAAAAGGCCTCCTTGGGTGTGATGCAGGTGGCACTGCCCAGCTCTGCCCCACAATGTAGCCTTAGCTGAGCTCTAGTACAGATTGTCACCTTGAAGTTCTTCACACAACTTACTGCATTCTAAGGTGAATTGGGAATTGCCTTAGGGTTTTCCTCTGTCCTCTTTTCCCAAGTAATTGTACTTTTAAAAATAGTCCTTCTTTTTGAGATGCTGCCAGTAATCTAGTGTCATAGACACTCTTCAGAAAGTGATGTGCTTGTGTTCATCATTTCATGAATATTAGAGGGAGATTAGAGGGACGTAATTGGGTATAGCAGTGTCAGTGTTCTAGGGACCTCCATCAGTCTGGAGTTCTCAAAAGGAATGAATTTGAGCAAACTAGGGGAGATGAAGGTGAGTTTTTGACATCCTTTAGTAGGCGACTAGACCAGTGGTGTCAAATTCCAATAGAAATAGATCTCTGCAGCTGCATATTGACTTAGAAAACCACAAATTAACACGATCTGTGTTGCATTATATTTTTTATTTATTTTGTTGAACATTTCCCAATTATAGTTTAGTCTGATTCAGTAGCATTCAGGGAGTTTTGCAGCCTCAGGTTTGATGCCTGTGGAGGGGGAGAGGAATAAGCATTTCTGTAGAGCCTGGAATGGGAGGGAGAAGCAGGCTGGAAAGGAGCCTCAGTAGAGGAGCTTCTCCATTCAGTGCTTCTCCAGGCCAGAATAGAAGGGGTTGAGGAGAGGCAGTGCAGCATATGTGCAGAAAAAGCACAGAGCTAGGGTCAGGATGCTTAGCATGGAACCCAAGCCCAGGCTTCTTAATGCTTATGGAACCTTGAGACTGGGGCTTTGCCTCTTGGGGCCTCAGCCTTTTCTGTCAAATGAGGGGGTGCAACCAGATTAATTCTAAAGGCCCTCCCAACTAATTCTTATGAACCTGAAAGGGTTATCCCTCCCTTGGTTAACAGAATTGGCAGGAGAGAGAGAGAGAAAGAGATTTGAAAGCAGCTGGTCACTTACAGTTTGAAAGACCCCCACGTCTCTACCTTTGGGCCTGGGAGGCCTGGCTGCCTGTGCAGGTTGAGCCATGCCCACTTTGAATAGGAAGTGCTTCAGTCCATAGTGTTTGCCCAGTGGCTTGGGATTCCATTGTAGCTGCCCATGGGTGGCCTGGCACTCAGTACTGCTACTCAGTGTTTTTGAAAGCTGGTCAGATCAGGGGAGATAGGGCTTGGCAGTCAGCAGCCTATAGGATTCAACTGAATAAATCTTAAGCCTTTTCCTTCTTGTTCAACAGCGGGTGAGCTGAGGCTCACTTTGTGTTAGCTAAAACAAAGCTTACCCAATCCTGCTTCAGTTCTCCTTCAATGGCAGCTAGTTTTAGACTTCCTAGACATGGATTTATTAGTCATCTAAGCATGTAGGCTTTATTTTTAGAACAGCCATCATGGTAAAGTATTTTTATGTTGGCTAAAAATAAAACTGTCCTCCTAACTAACCCTCAGCCACTTGGGTGGGTGGGTGGGGGATTTGAGAATCTGGTTCAGGGGAAAAGTCATCTGGAATTGAAAGATCTGGGCTGAAATATGGACTCTGCTGGTACTACTGGTGTGATTTTAAGACTGTGCCTTAGTTTCCACAGCTGTAAAATGAGGAGGTTGGACTAGATGATCTCTTAAAGTCCCTTATATTTTAAGTCTTTGGAAACTAAGTCCACTGTTTGTCTCCAGTGAGCACGTTGTCCTCCCTGTAGAATGGAGCCAGCTCCCTCCTGTGGCCTCTGTAGCAAGCAGCACTACAGTGGATGAGAAAATCAGCTTGGCCTGTGTCGCACCCTCTTGTTCCCTTTAGTATTTGGAGGAAACTTGCCCTGTGTCAGCCAGAGCTTCCACAGAAGAGAACCCTAAGCCAGGTGGTCTTTGGGGGATTACACTCCCTGTAGCTGGCATCTGCTTTTGGAAGTTGCTGGCTCATGGAGAAATAACAAACCTTGCATCCTATGAGCTGGAAAGTGTTCTGCCTCCATCTCTTCTCAAGCAACTCGAAGTTCACATCAAGTGGTTGCTGGGTCTAGCTTGGGACCCAGGGATGACCAGGGCTAAGCTAAATACCCTGGGCTCACCCTGGTCCAGGCCCTAAGCCTTGGCCGGGCCTGAAATGAATCCCCCTGAAGTTTTGGAAGGCAGGCAGATGCCGAGGAGATTCACCCTTTGCTCGCCCAGCCCAGCCCCGCCTGGCCCCAAGTTCAGGGACTCTATCCATCAGCTGTATAAAAGGAGATCTTCCTCCTAGAAATCATACTTGTGTACAAATGAACGTGAGAAAGAGGTATCCAGACCTTTTCCTTCCCCAAACATAGATGCTCATGGAAAAAGCCTCTCTTCATCTTCACTCCCATTTAGGGAGGCAGTGTGCCTGCTAGTTGGGAAAATGGAGACCACTGAGCACCCACCCCCACCTGTCTTTTAACCGCCCCTCAGCTGTTTATACCTGTGATTTCCCAATTGTGTTTGCTTCCTGATGGCTCTGGCTGCCAGTGGTACCAATTACTGTGGCTCAGCGTGGGCTTAGGGCTCCCTGTCTCTTCTCCTGCCTATTAGGATTGAAGTTCCACTGTATGTTGGGACATTGACATAATGCTCTTATCTCTATGAGGCATGACAGGATAAGAAAGTTACTCAAGTCAGAACTACAAGGAAGGGTCTATAGACTATTTGACAGGGAAACTTGCCTCAGAATACCAGACTACAGAGCAGGCTGGCATAGGCCCCTCCTCTTCTGGCTATCAGCCTCTCCCTAAGGGGAACCTCATTCTCAGTGAAGGTTGGCTAATGTTGCTAGAGATTTTTGTTCTTCCTTGTGAAAGTGAGGGTAGAAGAGACAGCTTCCCCTTTAGAGACCTTGGGACCTAATGGCCTTGGCCAGAGTGCCTTCTGACCTATCTTTCCCTGAAAAATGACCATAGACTTTCTCAGAGCAGGAAAAGGCTAGGCCACAGGGTCTCTGCCAGTTTGGTGAATAGGGTGGTTTCTAATCACAGCCCTTTGGTGGGCTGGCTTGGAATGTAGTTTGTTAGTTCCGGGGGGCGTAACAGAGAAGGCTCTGGTTGCTGTATGAGATAGTCAATCCTATAACCAAAATATTAGAAGCTACCCTTGCAGGTTGGCTAGATGGCGTCTAGTCCTGATGAGGATATCCTAGGAAACCTTTACCCAGAGTACTCCTACTAGCAAATAGGTTTCCCCTAGACTGAAAGACCATCAAAGGCAGGTTATGTTTTCTGATTATGTGGCCTTTCCTCTATCCGTCCTACCCACCCACTCGGTCCAAAATATTATCCCCCAACAAATGCTCCATGAGTATATGTTTTCACTCCTGTAAAAAGTCACGTGTATGATTAGCAGAACCTTCCATAGGGACTCTCCCGTGGCTGCCCTGGTATTGGACCTGGAGCGAGATTTTTGATGAGAGGCTGCTCTGGACCCACGGTAGGAACAGCTGTCTGAAGAGAAGACTGTGGGACAGAGCAAAGGAGCTCAGAGTTGGATGTGATGAGCTCATCAAGCTCTTGTGTCAGGCCGTTGATACCAATGTTATCTCTGTCTTGCTGCTTTTGCAGTTTCCGCTGCTAGGTGAGGATCCAGAATGGGAGACAAGCCGATTTGGGAGCAGATTGGATCCAGCTTTGTGCAACATTACTACCAGTTATTTGATAATGACAGAACCCAATTAGGAGCAATATATGTAAGTGCCAGGGGAGTGGGATAATTGGGGGTGGGACAAGATTGCTTTCCTGCGGGTGGGGCTGGTTGACATGCATTAGCCATTGGCTCCAATTTCCAGACTGTTCAGTGAAGTAGGTAAAATTGTATTTTAATCAGTTTTACCAGAGGCTGCAGGATTGGAGTGTAAGAAGTCACAGGTTCTGATTTTGGTATTGCCACTTACTCAGTAAAGCTCTATGACTTTGAGAAAGTCCTTGGGGCTCTTTTTCTCCATCCATAAAAAGAGAGGATTGAATATTCCTTCCAAATGTGAGATTCAGTGACTTGTAGTTGTTTTTATTTGATATTTTCACACTATTTTCTAGCCTCTTAATCTCCTCCCTCCCCTTTCGAAAGGCCTCCCACATTTTAAAATTGTAGTTACTTCTTTATTTTGATGGATGAAAGACCTGTTCCCTAACCTCATCTGCCCTTCGTTACACAGTTTAGAACACCTGCAGAGCAGTTACTCTAGAGAGAGGTCTCTCTAATGGAAACGTAAAGGGGCACCTAGGAAGTTCCTATTCTTGTGTAACTAAAAAGAGGGATCAAATCATTCACACCAAGGATTGACCCTCTTTACCAGTCCCCCTGATGCTTCAGGTGCAGAAGGGTATTCTCCGTGTCCCTGGTTCTACAAACATGTATTGAGCCTCCACCCTGTGTAACTCACAAGATGCCTTACACACTCTGCTAGGGAAAACGTCATGCATTTTCCCATGGAAACAATGTTATAACTCATGGTTAAATGAAATACTAGTGGTAGTATACTTCAGGGGCATCATGAACTCTTCTGTGGGTAGTCTGGGAACCTAACGCCAGTTATAACATTGTTTCTGTGGTAAGCTTATTGCTCCTCTAGGGTCCATGTGAAGAAAGTAAACCATTGAGAGTTGCAACATTAGGAACTGGTGAGCTCGTGGTCCTGAGGGAAAGAACTCGGGGACCATTCATGCTGCATGTCAGTGCTGACTGTCCCACCAGCAGTTTCATGAAACAAGCCCTGGATTCGTGGCCACAAGACCTAGGTTCACATCCTTGTTCTGACACGCACTCCCAGGCACTTCACCTCTCTGGCCCCGGGTTCTTCATCTGGATGTAAAATGAGGGAGTGAAGTGAGAGCCTCCAGGTCCTGTCTAGTTCCAAGTCCATGATCCTATGGTTTTTTTTTTTTTTTTTTGGCTAGGCAGTGGGGTTAGGTGACTCGCCTAGGGTCACACAGCTAGTGAGTATCATGTGTCTGAGGCTGGAGTTAAACTCAGGTCCTCCTGACTCCAGGGCCAGTGTTCTATCCACTGTGCCACCTAGCTGCCCCCAGATCCTAGAATTTTTTAAAATTCTATTGAATATGTCACAACTAAATTGGCAAAGCACCAAACTATTTATAGACTATGTAATTAAGTTAGTATTTCTGTGAGGATTTTGTCTTCCATTGCTCTTATAATTGTTCAGTCTCTCCTTGTTCAGTGCTGGAGTGCTCCCCAAACACGGTTATCTGGGTGAAATTAGAAAAAGCTTAAGAAGGGGAAAGCTCCAGCAGCTTTCTCTTGCAGTGGTTTGAACGCTGCCTATGAAAGGTTTAGTAAGAAGTATGAAATGGACAGATAAAAAAGACTACCACTGTAGACCTCCGATGATGTTCAGAACTTGTTGGGTAATCAAATTGGGATGTCTGGTGGGATGCCTCAGGCTAGAATGCCGGTGAGTATGAGGACTTGGGGCAGACAGCAGGCTCAGGCTGGCTGGGGAGCTTTCCTAAGGAAGTCCCTTCTTTTCCCAGGCAGTGACTAAGGTGCCAGTGCATGGGGGTACAGCTCACCTTTCTTTGTGATTCCATTGGAGAGAAAAAATTAGACCAAGTCTTTTTTTTTTTTTTTTTTTTTTTTGGCTTTTTGGTGAGGCAATGGCAGTGACTTGCCCAGGGTCACATAGCTAGTAAGTGTCAAGTGTCTGAGGCCAGATTTGAACTCAGGTCCTTCTGACCGCATGACCGCAGGGCCAGTGCTCCGTCCACTGTGCCACCTTGCTGCCCCTAGAGTCTTAAAGGGGCTGTGGTGGGGAGATTGTGCTTCCTCAGTCATTGGCCCTGGGACCTTGACCCTCACCCACTCAGGCCCTAATACTAGATTCTTCTGACTTTTTTTTTTTTTCCAGATTGATGCATCTTGCCTTACATGGGAAGGGCAGCAATTCCAAGGCAAAGCAGCCATCGTGGAGAAATTGTCTGTAAGTACGAGCCCTGTTTCCGTCTGCCTTCCCCTTCAGGGGTCCGAGGTGACCGTACTCCTGGCTGGGGGCTCATGTTCACCTCTTTTTCTCTTTCAGAGCCTTCCATTTCAGAAAATCCAGCACAGCATCACAGCTCAGGACCACCAGCCCACCCCTGACAGCTGTATACTCAGTATGGTGGTGGGGCAGCTAAAGGTGAGCAGGCCACCTTGACAGTAGACGGGAACTTTCATGTTCAGTTATGGGGCCAAAGGGGGAAAATTCCGACCTTGTATAATAAGAGCTGCCCTATATAGCCCTTTAAGGCACTTTATGCCCAGCATCTTATTTGATCTTCACAACAACCCTGTGAGGTAGGTACTATAGGTATTGTTATCCCCATTTTACAGATGAAGAAACTGAGGCTCAGAGAGGTTAAGTGACTTGCCCATAGTCACATCGCAAGTAAGTGTCGGAGGCAGGATTCGAATCCAGGTCTCTCCTGACTCCAGCCCAGCGCTCTTTCTACTACATCTTGCCGCTGCCTGTGGATAACAGGCAGAAGGGTTATTCTGTCTCCTGCCCTCCATTGTTTCCTGCTTCAGAGGTACATAGAATGAGCAGCTGCCATTTGGGGGGATCTCATCAGACCTTCTCTAAAGCTTGCTGTGGGGCATGTCTCCCTCTATATACTTCTGTCTTCACAACTGCCCTAGGTGTCTTGGCTGAGTAGAGCAGACCCACATCCCCACTGAGCATTGGGGATCTAGGTTTGAGCAGTGTCGTTCAGAATCACATGCATAGGGTTGGAACGGACCTCGCTAGCTCTTCAGTCTGACTCATACTAAATCCCCCTTTACAGTGTCCTCTCCAAGTGGGCATCCAGCCTCCATTTGAAGACCTCCAGTTAGGAACAGCCCATTCCAATTTTGGAGAACTCTCATGGGGAGGAAGTTTTCCCTTCTACTTAGAGCTGAAATTGACCTCTCTGCCACATCTACCCTCAGCTCCTAGTTTTGCCCCCTGTGACTGAGGAGAGCAACTCTGATGTCTCTTCCACATGAAAACAATCCCTCGGATACTTGAAGACAGCTCTCATTCTCCACCCCCAACTCCACCCCCCAGCCTTCTCTTCTCAATGCTAAACATCCCCATTCCCTGCAACTAATCCTTAGAGTTCACTGTCTCTAATGACTCTCCATCCTGGTCCTTCTCCTAGACTCCCTCCAGCTTGTCACTGTCCTTCCTAAAATGTGGTGTCCAGACTCTGGTCTGATCAGGGCAGAGGATAGTGGGGCTCTTAACTCCTTCATTCTGGATATTGGGATTCTCAATCCAATCTAAGATTGGCTAGGTGGTGGGGGGTTGGCTGCCATGTCACACCATTGCCTCACTAAGTTTGTATTCTGCTAAAATCTCCAGAACTTTTTCATAAGTTCTGTTTCTAATCACATATTCCCCATTCTGTTCTAGTGGGGTCCCTGAGTACCTCATGTGTTTCCCACCACCTCAGAATAGTTATTTAGGTGAGATCAGGGCAAAATGAACAGTCAGGACCATCTTGAAGGAGAAGGGATGTCCAAGAAGTACAGGTGGAATTCCACCTGGGGACACTTGGAGAAGGTCACTGCTGAGGAGCCAGTCTCAGGGTTGACTTGCTTGAGCATCTCTGAAAACCTCAATGGACATCAGAGCCATGAGCAGACAGGTTCTTACAGTAGGAACTGGGAGAGTTCTCTTGTGGAGAAGCATCAGCACAGCTTGGGGAGAGAGAGGGTTGCACATCTGTGGCAGAGACAGTACTGGCATAGCTCCTAGAGCATTGGATCTGATGTCAGAAGGCCATGGTCCAGTTTGTGTCTCTTGTTTCATGTCTCTGACTTTGGGCAAGTTATTTAGCTTCTTTCTGTCTTTTCTCATCTGTAAAGTAGGACTGGTAAAATTACACTCCCTACCTCATAGGACTAATGTGAGGAAGGTGCTTTATAAACCTTAACAGTAATACCTCAATGTGAGATGATCAGTATTTGGCTTCTCTGGGGGTGCCACAGTTTGAGTAGGCAGCGTGAAGAAGAAACAGACAAAGCCTTGCCCCAGTCCAACGAGGGCTTAGCTATGTTCTTGTGTATCGACGTAGACCTTGCTAGCTAGCTGCCTGACCACTTTTCAACGGCTTGTTCTTCAGGTCCTGCTTGGCTTCTTTTTCCAGGCCAGGCCTTGCCCCTGCTCTGTCCTTTCTCTTAACTGGAAAGGGTTCTCTCATCAGCCTTCTTCCCAGTCTCTCCCTGAGCAGCTTCTACAAGTGATTTGTCTTTCATTTTGTTGTGCTCAGATCAAACTCTCCTCTTAAAACAAAGTTGCTTATTGAGCATGGTGAACCTTTGTGGACCTTTATGCTTTTCACTCTGATAGCAAGTGGCAGTGACAAGCCACCCTCCCTTAGGTGAGAGAGCTGCTTCCATCCCCGAGCCAAACAAGAAGTGGAATGACTGTTCCTTTCCATCCTGTCCGCATTGGCACCTGCTCTGAGCTGCTTGGATACTCTGAGTTTTTGGTGCACAGGGCAGCAGGACCAAGCTTATGTGTGAGAGTTGGGGTACAAACAACCTACTGCTTCACTTCAGACATGTTTGGAGGCAGTGTCTGAACTTTATTAAGATGGCTTGGAATACACATGGAGCATATGTTCCTTAGGACATCTGAACAGAATAAGAGGGCCAGGGGACCCCTTGCAAAAGGCACACTTTATACCATTTGGAAAATCCAAGTCTCTTTCCTGTAGCCTGTGCTGCCAGAAGTCTGTGAAGGGCCTGTTTCTTGGCTATTCTCTAAACTGGTCATGCTCATCTTCTGTGCAGAGGCCTCTCTGTTGGGTTGGTACCTGTTTCCCCAAACACAGTTGAAGGAAGCCCTGCTGGAGGGAGCACCCCAAGCTGCCCAGTCAGTGCATGTTGCTTCTGGCCTCTTGTTTTCTAATCTTATGCTGCTCTGTTGCTTTTCTGTGGGGTGTGGTTCCCTGTATCTAATAATAGTCCATGCTGCCCTAGGGAATAGGCTAGGGAATAGGGCCAGTGGTTGGTAAATTTCATGCCCTTCCTCCCTCCCGTGATTCTGCAGGGATTTACAGTCTCTGCATGTTCTTTCTAACTGATTCTAGCTGAAGCCAGCAGCTGGAGTAAGTCTGAATGAAAAGCTCTCCTTCCTAGGAGCTGTCTCTAATCCTCACAGACAACCTTGCCTCCAAGGGTGTCTGAACCAGTATTGGTCGTGGATAATGTGCTCTCAGGGAAACAGAAGGACAGGTGTTAAATGGCCCAGACTCTCAGAGGAGTATCCTAGAGGTTCAGGGCACTGGCATTGTGGGGTATGCCCCTTTTAGCTGAGCCTGTGGGGTCCTAGGCTCTTGTTTTACAGCTTTGAAAACTGAAGTGTCTTGACCATGGGTATGTAGGTATTAAGTAACACTGCCCATCTTTGGACTCTGATTCCACTGACTGACCTTTCTATTGCCTGAAGGCAGCGTGGCATGGTTGTGATGTTTGTTCTCAAAGCCCAGAACTGGTGGTTCTGATTTCCTGCATCACTTACCACGTTGCTCAAAGGTGTGTCTTTCCTCTCTTCTTGCAGGCTGATGAAGACCCCATCATGGGATTCCACCAGATATTTCTATTAAAGAACATCAACGATGCTTGGGTGTGCACCAACGACATGTTCCGGCTAGCGCTACACAACTTCGGCTGAGCCTCCTCTTCCCAAGGCACCCACGCTGTTTCCTTCTCTCTCCTCTTCCTGATATTATTCACACTTCCTCTCCCCAGCCCCCTGAGAACACTCCAAATATCATACACAAGCCTGCAAGGCCGTGGTGGGTGGACACCGCGGTGGGCAGTGGCATCACTGTTTGAGTGTGTTGTGCATGATGTTTGGACGTTAGACTAGCTGCATCTGACAGGAGAAGTTTGTGTTGTACCAGCGCATGCCTTAGGAAGACTAAGTAATGCAAAAGGTTGTCTTTTTTTTTTTTTAATGTACTGACAAGTTGCTCTAGTAACCCAAAGAAACGAAGGAGAAAGCAGCAGCTGCGTGTGCAGCCCCGACCTTGATTTGTTCAGATGTTCAATGCCTCATTATACAATAAAACCATGAAAATTTTCTTAACAGTTTAAATTGTTTTAATTAGTTTAGCTAGTTGACTGTTTAGGGCATAAACAATCTAACAGGCCATATTCTCATTTTGTTTTTCTCTTATTTAATTTTCCCCTGAGCAGTATTTACAAAGAGAAAACCTCTTTAGCACTCGGCTTCCCTCCACTTTGCCTGTTGCTGATGCATTGGGGCCTGAGAATTTCTGAGGGGGGTTTCCTTCTGTCTTCTTGGAGGCCAGAAACACCTATCCCCAAGGCTTGAAACTTCATGGAGTGGGATGATTAAAGTGTGCACCCATGTTTGGGGTGTCGGTGTGGCATAGGAAGGATGAGTTCCTAGTTGGAGTAGAAGTCTCTGCCTTTATCCTGTGCCTTCAGGAATACTCAGCTGCGCCCACAAACATGCCCTCTCCAGCATCTCTGGACTGTTTCCAACATGTTTCATCTCCTTCAAGCTGGGCTGCTGTCTTTGTGCACTGTCATCCTAAGACCACGGGTCTCAGTACCAAGAGGGCTGATGTGTGGCCAGGCTGCCCAGTGGGTCCTAACTGTCAGAGCCTTATGGGAAGGACTCTGGAGGTTTCTTTTTGGCTTTAACTGATCACCAGCTCTCATTGGGTGTGTAAGAGAATCTCTGGGGAAGATAGCCCCTCTTCTGGATCAAAAGGGACAGATTGGGGATGCCTCCTCCAGGGCTACTCTCCCTCTCTATAGAAGTGGGTTCTTGAAGCAGCTGAATTCTCTCTCTCTCTAGAATATGCCCATGGAGGCAGCATTCATCTGAAAGACTAAAGGGTCAGAAAGAGCAGGGATGAGGATTCCTGTTCAAAGGGCTGATCCTCCCAGAAAGGGGTGTCCCAGCTTTGGCTTCTGGGGGGATCCTACTGGGCAGAAAGGACTGCTTCACTTCATTCCCATAGTGAATCTGGGAATATAGTTCCACCCCCATACAAAGCTCTTTGGTTTTTGGCAGCCAGGGTCCCCTTTGTGGACTGCAGTAACAGCCCGGCCTAGTTTGCTGCCTGAATGAAAGGCCAACAAATCTGCTTTTGCCCCTCCAGGGATCTCTGAGGTGAACTGACTTTGCCAGGGCACGGCTTACAAAGATGCTATTTGTTTCTTATCTCAGGGATTCTTTAAAAATTCCTTTTCTATTCTAATTTGGAGCTGGGTGAAGGGAGAAAGCCAATGTTGTGATTTGGTTTTCTTTTCTCTAAGCTACATGTGATCCTGTTCCCTTGCTCGTAAGCCCTGTCGATGTGTACCCAGGATACTGCAACACTTAGACTACGTATTGGGAAGAGGAGCACAGGATTAATTTAGGAGAGGAAATCTCTTAGGGGTGAGCCTGGGGGTGTGGGGTGGGGTGAGGTAACTTGGGGTAATTTGCTCTCTTGTCTCCTTCCTCTCCTCCCTTCCAGTGAGACACAATCATATGTCATTGGACCTATTATCCAATGTGTGCCTGTCCCTAAAATGTCCTTCTGGTGGCAACAGAAGTTTGATTACTTTGTGGGCACTTAGCTTCGTTTTGAAGACATGGAAGGAAGTAGAAAACAACTTTATACTTCTGCAATTCTTACACACGAACACACACACACACACCCCTCTGCTAGGTTGATTTCTATTAATTTTCCTCCACCTGCATCGCACCATTGCATATCCCAGACGCTCTTAAATCCATTATCCTTAATAGCCATAGGAGGATACAAATGAAGGCCCCTTTGTGCTTCCGTTCTCTAAATGCTAGTCCTTATAGCAAGTCCTCCTAGACCATAGTCTAAATAAGTAAACAGTCTAAATGTTTAGATGGTAGATCTGCTAAACTAGGAGTATGAAAGGGCAAGCAAGGATGGCAGGACCGGATTTTTGGACCAGAACCAACCACAATTCCTTTCTCCGCCCCAGGACTTGAACTGGTCTCTTATTTTATACAGTGTTAAACCCTCAGGTTATCTTACTCAGTTCTCTCATTTTTCAGAGGTGAAATTGTTTGCTTAGCTAAGGTCAGTCTGCACAGATAGCCAGTGGCAGAGCCGAGCCTAGAACTCCCAAGCCAGTGGTCTTGCCACAACCCTACGCTGCTTCTTGCAGGACCTTTCAGGACCATCTTAATGCAGTTAATTCCCAATGCCCCAGCAGTTGCAGCATTGGCTGAAACCAGCGTTGAGCGAGTCCTTTGTACAGTGGGACACCAACTGCCCTGCTTCTTCCTCATACTTAGATCTATTCCTAGCTCTGCGGAGGTGAGGGTAGCCTTTTCTGAATGCACCACTAAACCCCGCCCTGAAATGCCTAATAGCCTGCAGGATTGCTGCAGGGGCCAGAATTGCTTTCTGCCTGTGATAGAAAACTAAGCTGTACATTTCTATAACATGATTTTCCCTCTGTACTTTGTTGAGGACTGTCATCTTTTCTAGGATAACAAGTTTCTTGAGTTGTGGGCTTTTTACATGTTGCTCATCTGAACAGATGTGCTGTTTGATACAAAGATGCCTCTGAAGAACTTGGGGCTGTAGATACTATTTGACAGAGAGAAGATAAATCAGGTGCCTGGTTACTTTGAACTGACCCGATACAATCACTATATAAACTCAATATGACAGCCACAATGATACACTTGTGCCTGAAATGTGTAATCAAAAAAGAGCTGGTTTTGTTGTTTGTTTTTTAAACAAAACAAATTTGTGGCTTACTTGATAAGGCGGAGGAATATCCAAACCTGGGACAACAGATGTCAATGGAACCCCAAAACCTAGGAGCCTCTCCTTATTCCCAGGAAATTCCATTCCAGGCAGGCCATTCTGGAGACAAGTCCCCTGCTTGGTGACCACCATTGTCAGGCATGTACTGGAACCAGTATGTATCAATGCAGGGTTCAAAGAGCTTAGTGGTCCTTTATCTCTTTTTTTTTTTTGGCAGTCGGGGTTAAGTGAATTGCACAGGGTCACACAGCTAGTAAGTGACAAGTGTCTGAGGCTGGATTTGAATTTAGGCCCCTCCTGACTCCAAGACCAGAGCTCTATCCACTGCACCACCTAGCTGCCCCCTTTTTTGCCTTTTTTTTTTTGGTGGTCATTTATCTTAGCTTTTGAGTTTTCTGGATCCCTTTCTCAGGTTGGCTCAGAGTGCTTTCAGTACACTTGGGAATGACTTTAGTTGACCACCCCAGGAAGGAAGCAAAGAACTACAGTGCTGCTGGCAACAGATGCCAGTCCTCTAAATGCCCAACACAATGCTTTCTCTCTAGAAAAGCTCAGACCATCTCCAAAGAACCAAGTCCCAAGCCCTGTAGTCTCCTGATTCCAGAGTTTATTCCGTGTTCACTTCTCTGCCCCCCCCCCCCAAATGCTTGTGCCAGACTGGATAATGTAAAGCTCCTTGGGCACATGAGAAAAACTTACCTAGTAGAAGTTGGGATTGGGCTGCTCCTTCTATAACCCAGACTCATCCCTACAATTTCCCTTTTTCAGGCTTGGATGATTAGGTGAAACCCCTATAGGCATCTGGTGTTTGAAAGGTACTGGGCATTGTGGGAAGGATATTGAATTTGAAATCAAAAGACTTGAGTTTCAGTCCTTCTGGTTACTATCCATATGACCTGAAGCAAGTCACCTCTCCCCTTGAAGCCTCAGGGCCTTCACCTGTAAAATGAGGTTTTGGAGTAGAAACTAAAGTCTCTTTAAGCTGTAATATTCTGTGACTCTAGCTGTAGTAGAAAGTCAGTAGATCTGGATTTGAAATTTAACTCTTCCACTTGTGTGACCATGGGCAGGCTAGTCATTTCCCTCCTCTGCTCCTCAGGTTATGTAAAATAAGAGATTAGATTAGGTAGATGGTTATTAAAGTCTTTCAGCTCTAAAGCCTGTGACTGTCAATGAGTCTGGTCTGCCTTTTGGTCCTTCATAGAGGTATAGTATTCATATGGGGAGGGGCAATAGATGACTTAAGCCTCCCTCCCCTTCAGAATGATGAACAGCGTGTTCCAATGCAAAGAGGACTGGAATTGTAAGTCTAAAGGATCTGGCTCCTATTCAGTTATCCACGTGGCCCTTGGCAAGTTTAAAGTTTCACTGCAGAGACTTGGTTTCCTCAGGTATAAAAACCTTGTACTATCTCTTATAGGGGTTGAAGGAAAGTCCTTTGTAAACCTTATAATGCCATATAAAGGGAAGGGAATAAGCATTTATTGAGCACCTACTATGAGGTAATAAGTTTTGAACACTATTATTGCTTGACCTAGGGCTTCTGATTCCAAATGCAGTGTTCTCCACCCAACTCTTTTTTCCTTTTTTTATTTTTAATATTTGTGTGTGTGTGTATGTGTGAGAGAGAGGGAAACAGAGAGAGGCAATTGGGCTTAAGTGACTTGCCTAGTGTCAACACAGCTAGTGTTAAGTGTCTGAGGCAGGATTTGAAATCAGGACCTCCTGACTCCAGGGCCGGGTCTCTATCCACTGTGTCCCCCAGCTGCCCCTCACTCTGCTCTTTTCAAGGAACATCTTTTCCTGCATTCATGGGCCTCAAGCGATTTGATTTTCCTCTTTCTTGCTGAATTGAAATCTTTTAAAAGACACCATTCCGATTGGAGGGTCTGTCGTTGGTCCAGGGCTATCCATGGCCCCGGCCTTCATGAGACTTCCCCAGACAGATGTGGTTGAGCCGAGGGATCGTTTTCTGTCCCAGAAGTCATGGCAAAGACCCCATAGAGTCTTAGGATGTAGAGACCATCTGATCCTACAGATGAGGAAACTGAGATCCAGAGAAGTGGCTTGCCCAAGACCACAGGGGCACGTCAGTAGAGCTGGGATTCAAACCCGAAGGCATTGTTGTTTCCCCTGGACAAGCTGGGTGTCCTTGGGTCCCTTTAAGGACCCTTCTAGCTCGGCGATGCCACGGTGTGTCATTTTAACTTGACTGAGACTGCTCCTTCTCCTCTGAAATAGGACTGGTTAAAATTGTACCGCCCAGGGTGAGGGCGAAGCAAGCGCCTTCTTCGGCTTCCCCAGGACCCC